TCGAGCTCCCCTACAACACTCGAGCTACTTGGCCAACAAAAGCCCGAGTAATACGCCTCGAGCTCCCCTGTAGGACTCGAGCTACGCTTAATGAAAGGTTACTGCTCGTTGTTGATCGTGCGTTTGTTGTCTTCTTTTTTAATACGCCTCGAGCTCCCCTAAAGGACCCGAGCTACTTGGCCAACAAAAGCCCAAGTAATACGCTCGAGCTCCTCTGCAGCACTTGAGCTACTTACAAAAGCCCAAGTAATACGCCTCGAGCTCCCCTGTAGGACCCGAGCTACTTAGCCAACAAAAGCCCAAGTAATACGCCTCGAGCTCCCCTACAACACTCGAGCTACTTGGCCAACAAAAGCCCGAGTAATACGCCTCGAGCTCCCCTGTAGGACTCGAGCTACGCTTAATGAAAGGTTACTGCTCGTTGTTGATCGTGCGTTTGTTGTCTTCTTTTTTAATACGCCTCGAGCTCCCCTAAAGGACCCGAGCTACTTGGCCAACAAAAGCCCAAGTAATACGCTCGAGCTCCTCTGCAGCACTTGAGCTACTTAGCCAACAAAAGTCCAAGAAATACGCTCGAGCTCCTCTGCAGGACTCGAACTACTTCTTAGACATAACTCGACCTCAACGGCAAATAAAAAAAAAGAAGGAAGACAACAAACGCACGATCAACAACAAGCAGTAACCTTTCATTAAGCGTAGCTCGGGCGAAGTACATAACATTTTTCAAAATACAAATTACATGCGAGATCAGGAGAAGCCTAAGCTAGGTCTGTGGGGTTAGCTGGCTCTTCATCGTCGGGGATGGCAACGTTCTCATCAGCGTTGTCCTCGAGCTCCGATGCAGATAGTTCGAGTTCGCTCGCGAGCTCATTCACTGATTTCAGCTCTTCAATGAGGGGCTTGTCGTTGTCAGGCAACTTTGTCCTCAAGTAAGCCCGAGCCAACTTCAGGCCATAGTGGTATGAGCCCGAACCATATTCCCCGAGCAAGTTCTTTTGCTCTTCAGAAGCTTTGAACTCCTCGATTGCTCGATCTCGGGCCTTGGCCAATTGATCTTCGACCCCCTTCTTCACCTGAATGAGCTCCAGCTTCACCTCCTCAGCTTCGTCTTTTATCTCGCCTATTTGATCCCGCATCTTCCTCATCTTGATGCGAACAAGGTCACGCTCGACCTCTAGCTCCCTCATTTGTTTATCTTTTTGCTCGATCTTGGACTCGAGCTCTTGAGCTTTGCTCGATGACTCCAGACTCTTCAGAGACAGGCCCCGGGCCATGCTCAAAGCCTATAATGACAACTTCAATCAGAACAAGAAGTCTCGAGAGATAGAAAATATTGCCAAGGCATAAGCTCGATGTGAAGCAAACATACCTTCAGGGTGATGAGCTCTAAAGCTCGAACTCCCTCGCCAGGATCGACCTCACCTCTGTACTTCGCTACGATGGATGGAATTAAAGGGCATCGGGCATGATCCTCGAGGATCTCTTGAGAAAGAGAGGCGTTTTCCTCTAAGTCGACAATCTCAGGGGGCCCCCGATCAGCAGAAGGTCGGGGGAGGGCTGCGATGGTTGCCCAGACTCAGTGGCCACCTTGCTCGATGCAAATTCCCGAGCCCTCTTCTTCCCCTTGGACTGGGCCGGTGTTTTGGGCTTCGAGCCCTTCGCTTTCTTGTGCACGTTAGCCAAGAGGGCTGACGGATTAAAAGATATTTCCAAATCTGTCAAGGAAAAAGACAAATCATCAGTACGAGCATAGATCGGGGAGTCAACACATAAGCAGTAAGGATTCGTCTCATACCCTCGATTCCCCTCACGTTGGCGAGGTCGAGGGTGTCTTCCTCGAGTAGATAATCAACCTTAGCTGCGATTGGATCGTGGTTAACTAACCTAAGCCTATCCCTCTCCAAGACCTTAAAGTAAGTTTGCCCCTCATTAAACCTATTCTTATCGGGGACTGACCACATCGGCCTAAAGAGATGGTCGGTGTTCTGTGGTTTGACAAAAAAATATCTCTCTTTCCAACCGCGAAGAGAGCTCGGGGTTTCGGGCGTCCTAAACCCGCCCTTTGTCGACAAATACACAAAACAATTAAACCCCGGCGAGTATTTCAAGTCATACACCATCCTCAAAAGGT